CTTTTAAAGCAGCATAGGAGTTGTGTGAAATGTTCCTTAAGAAACTGGGAAAATGGCAGTGAGCCAGTCAAACAATCCTTCCATCCATCAATCAACAAAAAAAAAAAAAAAAAAAAAAGGTGGGGGAGGAAAACATACCAGGAATTGTAGACAGAAATATCCAAAGGTGACTAAGGTGAGAAACAGTAATGGGGATGGGAAATACCAAGCCTCCAAGTCTACACAAAGATCTATAACACTGGTTTTAAAGTAGCCAGTACAGCGAGATGAGTACTGCCGTAGTTGCTTTACTGTGGTGCAGAAGCCTCTAGTGAGCTGGGCCCAGATGTTGAGAGGAGGCTCTCCCCACTTCCTCAGGGCCAGGCCTGGAGGAAAGTCGTTACATGGCTGAAGTCTGTACTGACAGACAGTCCCTTGCTACATGCACCTTGTACCTGCCCAGTGTCCCCAACGGCCACCACCATATCTGACATAAGCTGGAAACAACTGAGTCTCCTGGAGATTGATTTAAAGATGCTGGTAGGGGAAATTCTTGGTCCCTTGGGCTGCTAAACCAAAAAAGTGAGAATTGGAACAGTTGGCAACTATCTCGCCTGGGTATGTGGTCGGAGGCAGCTGCACAAAGAGAAAACAAGGAATGCAGTAAGAAAGAAACAAAACCAAATCCAGACAAGTGATGGGAAGCAGGGAGGAAGGACAGAAAATGTGCAAGAGCATGAGAAAGTAGCTTGACGAATACCATAGGTAGCCTGTATTTTGCCTTTGGCTTTTGGGAGTTCAAAAATTTCATTCTAAATATGTGATTTCAGTCAGGCAATTGGACAGCAGACTGAGAGCCACAAACCTAGATGCTAGTTTAGTTTTGCCTTTTGATCTAGGGTAGGGTTACCTGGATTCCATTCCCTCGGGTATTCTCAGAATGGAGTGATCTCTTTTGGTGTCCATTCTAAAAATGTCCTTCTGCTAGTGTCCATTATCCTTCCCACTGCCCTCTCCTCATCCCAGGTGAACATTTTGGGGGGGGGGGGTCTCTTTTTTTTTTTTTGGTACTGGGGATTGAACTCATGACCTCGCGTTTGCCAGGCAGGCACTTGTGCTGCTGAGCTAATTTCCCAGCCCTTTTGGGGTCTTTTTGAGACAGGGTCTTGCTATGCGTCCAAGCCGGCTTGAGCTCACTTTGTAGCCCAGGCTAGTCTCAAACTTGCAACCATCCTCCTGCCTCCACCACTGAGTGCTGGAATTACAAGTGTGCACTGCCACAGCTGGCTCTAACTGAACTTCATTTCCGTCCTCTATCTACTTTCTTATTTTTCACCTTGACTTTTTCCAAATGGCCTTCCACCCCCCCCCCCGCTCTATTGAAACTGCTTCAAGATTACCAAGAAGGCATCTATGCCAGCTACTCTTTCCCCCTTGCTTAGTCTCCAGCTTCACCTCATCTAGCTGAACAATCCTCCCAGTTCAAACACGTTTACTTAGCTTTCTACAATGCCTGGACACCGCATTCTCCTGGTTTGCCTTCTGTCTTCCTGGATGCTGTTTCTCTACTCCCTTGCTGGCTTCTCTCCACCTAGAAGTGCTGGAGTTTCTGGAAGGCTGCATCCTGGCCGTCATCTTAAGCTACACTTTCTTCCTATCTTTCTCATAACAACCTCATCCACTCCTCTAGCGTTTATTGCTGTCTATATACACTGGCTCTCACATTTATGTCTTTAGCTCAGAGAGCCCCTCTGAGGGCCACAACCACCTAGGCAATTGCCCAGCTCTGATTTCTGCTTAAATGTACCAAACATACATCAAACCTGGCAAGTTTCAAATTGAACTCCTCTCTTCCCTCACATCATTTCCTCCTTCAGTGTTTTTGAACTCTTTATGGCTCCCAGTACATACAGCTGTTTAAGGCACATTCTGCAAGTCATCCTTGCTTTTTCCTCTTCCTCATTCCCTCCATTGAGCCCAGCCCAAAGACCTGTTAAACACTTCTCAAATTAATCTATCTTCATCACAATCACTGTCACCTAAGTCCCAGTCACTATCTTTCCTCCTTTTGCCTTTATATGTTTTTTAAATTAAAAATTTACTCATATACATTTGCTGTACAGAATTATATTCACCATGGGGAGTGGGTACCTGCACATAACACATCTTCATTGTTTTTATACTCCCTTCCCCCCTATCTCTTGGTCCCCTTCCCATTTGGCAACATACTCCCAACGGGTCCTTCCACACCCATGCGTTTCCTACTAATCCATTCACTGCACAACCTGTGGGGCTTTTACAAACACAAATCTCATCCCAGCCTTCAGCCTCCCAGGACTCCCAGTTGCCTATATTTAAAGACTGTTCCATAAGCTCCTGGTGTGGTCAGCCACTTTCACACACCTGTTCCTCTTTTTGTCTCCAGCCAGAGTCCTCTGCGCCCAAACAGACCCACAGTGCCCTCCCCTTTGGGTACCGTGCAAACTGATGCTTCTGTCATTTGTGTCTTCAAGGGACCCTGTCTTGCATTGCCCTTGCCCCATCCAGTGACACAGTCCCATCACACCCTGGACTTCTTCATGCCACCCACATGTGTCATTTTCTATTTGTTGTTTCTTTTCCCTGTAGGGCTGTAGACCTCAGTAGGGCAGGCACACGCTGTCCTGAACACTGCTCCAGCACCACAGCCCATCTGGCCTGATAGATGCTGGCTGGCAAGAGTGAAGACAAGTATCTGATGTCCCTTGTTTCCCAACCATGGGGTAGCTACACATTTGGGCACTGTCTTCTTCAAATGCCAAAGCCCAAGAGCAGCAAATCTTTCGGTGGCTCCTAAAATTAGATTCCTGTTTTGGTAGAAGGTATGAAGTGACCCAAAAGGACTTGGCCTCTTCCCCTGAAGCACAAGGACGAGCTGGGAGTCCCCCAGATGTTGTGAAGCATACTTTACACACTCTGGAGAAAGCTGAAGGTCTTCAGAGTGAAGTGGTAGTATTCCCTGGTCTCGTAGAAAACTGAGTGCCTTCTCAGAGAGCCAGCAGGACACTGAGGTGAGGGCTAGAAAGACAGACCCGCTCTAAGAGCTCGTTGTGTAGTCAGGGGTTGTGAGGAGAACAATTAGAATAAGGACACAGAATTTATAATATTATTTTATGATGGTCATCCAGAGTTTAACACAAGAAAGTGCAGGAAATCTGTCCACAACACTAAAGACATAGATTATTCAGCCAAGGGTGTGGATCCCACAGCAATGTCCTGCATGAGTCCAGATGAAGACCCAGAGCTCATGACAATGCCTTCCACAAGTCCAACTGGAGGTCAAGAGCCCACAAGGACTCAGGCCGTCTGTTTTACAGATCTGTGCTGGGAAGGCCCAAAGGTCAGCGGTGGAAGCTAGAAAGTCTATGCCAGTGGGGTGAAGGAGCTGTGCTGGTAGGTTGAGGAGTCTGCACTGGAGCAGAGAAATCACACTTATAATAAAGACCAGGGTTGTCCTGAAAAGCACCACAGCCATCCTCAGCGACACAGAGGTCCTGAGCTCCTCCAAGGATAAGAACAGTCCAGTACATGCCAGAAAGCCAGCATGACGAGTTTCTCCTGGAGATCAAATGACACGTCTTCCCCTCAGGAGCCAGGAAGCGATGCTTGATGTAAGAACCAGGGCTCCCCCAAAGTGAACCACGGGCACTCTCACCAACAAGGTTTGGTGTCCTCTGATAACAATGGTCGAACTCACACCTGGGAAGCTAGTCATGAGGAGGAGGGCCTCCAGTAGAATCAAGGGCTCAAAAGAGCAACACTTAGAGAAATCCAGTAGACCTAGCGCTTCTCTACATCTCTATGCTGGCAACTTTCCTAAGGTGGGCTAGCTACACTCAGCACCAGCTGGTGTTAAGTTGCTACCAGGTTTTAATCCACAACAGCTCTAGACAACCAGGGTATCAAGAGGAAGTATCTTAAGAACGGCCAAGACTTTCGGGGAGACAAATTGTTTGAGGCTGGGCCTCAAGGAGCCCCTTCTGCACACAGCAAAGTGGGCCAAAAGGTCCGGCAGGGGACAAAACAGCAGGAGCCCCAGGGTGGAAAGGCCCAGAAGATTGCTCACTCTGACAACAGCCCTGAGCATTCCTGCAGGCGATTTCCTGGCGCTCACGTCTCAGGCCAGCATGTGTTGAGTATCTTTTGCCCTTGCTGCGCAGGCCTGAGTGGGCCAGGCACCACCCCACAGAGGAAGAACTGACTGTCTCGGCCATGTCAGTCTCCAGAAGAACAGACCTTTCCAGCTCTTTGTGCAACCAGACACACCTCTCCAGGGAAGGAGGGCAGGAATTCCACCATTACCGCGGCCTCATTAAAACAAAAACAAAAACAAGAAGCTTGTCTAATTATCCTCTGCAGGAAAGTACACACAGGACTGAACCTGGATGAGCCATCCCTGTAAAGATTAGGAAAAAGCACCTCCACCTCCCTCCAACCCCTGTGTGCCCGCCATGCGCCCCGGCTCTCGGGATGGCAGGGCAGGGGACCCAGGCCACCGCGGAGGCCGCGTCCCTGCTCAGGCCTGTCTCCCCCGCCTGCCTCAGGTGCTCGCCCGCTCCGGGCCACCAGCCCTCTCCACCAGGTCTGCGCGCGAGCCGGGCGCCGCGAGCGCTGGGCGGAGCAAGGGGGCGCGGGGCTCCTCCGCCGCGAGTGCCCGGCCGCGCCACGCCCCCGGGTCGGGCAGCCGGCGGCCTCGAACCCGGAGCGGGCGTGCAGCGCGAGGCTCCCGCCCGGGCGGCGGTGGCGGCTGCTTCCTGGTTCGGGGCTCGCCGAGGGGGGAGCGAGAGCGCGCGGAGGCGGGGGCGGGAGGCGCGGCAGAGGCGGGGGGCGGGCGCAGAGACGCGGCGGGAGCTGGCCGGACGAGTCGCGCTCGCTCTGCTCCGCCGAGAGGTGCTTCCCGGCCGGGGAGGAAGGGGCGCGCCCCGGAGCGCGGCGGGGCTCCTGTCTTTCCACCTCGGGGCGAAGAAGGCGGAGGGTGGGGAGGGGAGGGACGGGCGCGCGGCGGGGCGGGATGGCCGCTCGAGGGGCGCTCGGCCGCCGCTTTCCCCCGGAGTCGCCTGCGCTCCCGCGGCCGCCGCGAAGGCTGCTCTGAGCCCGGCTCCCCGCTCCCCCGCGCGGCCGGCAGCGGCGCCGGAATGTCGTCCAGCACCATGAAGTTCAACGGCTACGTGAGGGTCCGCATCGGCGAGGCCGTGGGGCTGCAGCCCACCCGCTGGTCCCTGCGCCACTCGCTCTTCAAGAAGGGCCACCAGCTGCTGGACCCCTACCTGACGGTGAGCGTGGACCAGGTGCGCGTGGGCCAGACGAGCACCAAGCAGAAGACCAACAAGCCCACGTACAACGAGGAGTTCTGCGCCAACGTGACCGACGGCGGCCACCTGGAGCTGGCCGTGTTCCACGAGACGCCCCTCGGCTACGACCACTTCGTGGCTAACTGCACCCTGCAGTTCCAGGAGCTGCTGCGCACGGCCAGCACTTCGGACACCTTCGAGGGCTGGGTGAGTAGTGTCCCGCCCCTTGGTATCCAGCCGACCCCTTCTTTTCCATTCTTCCGAACTCTCCTGGTCCGCTTCCCCGTCGCGCCACAGCGCAGGGAATTCCCTCCAGACCTTGGCCCTCTCCCAGGTGACTGCTACCTATGAGATCCGACAGGAGGGTGTGTGCGGGCGCAGGTGTCTCCCGGACACTGGCCTGGACGGGCCCCTGAACGACTGCGGCCCTGGGCTAACAAAAAGAGGACAGAGGGTCACCTCTCTCTCCCCAGCTCCGGACCCACGGCTAGAGACTTAGGAAAGGCAAGGAAGGGGTAGTGTGAAAGTGACACGATTTGAGCGAAGTGCTTCAGGCATTTCTTAGGAGAAAGCCACACATTCTCCCGAGTATTATTCACAGTGTTTATGGATACATGTTGGTTCAGCCGCGCGGACCGCACACGTGTTTCGGCATGCACATGCATTACATCCCAGAGGTACTGAAGCTACGCTGGCCTGGCGGGAGCAGAGTGCCTGGGTTCGCACGCTGGCAATTTTTTATTGTTTAGCAGATTTCCAAGGAAATGAGGTTTATCCGTGTTTGTAACTAACTCCGCTCAGGAAGTCTGAGGTGTGTGAGTTCTGCAACGCATAGGCTGAGACCAGGCGACTGGAGCGCCTTAGTTTTGGATTGATCTGCCTTTCCCTGCCATCACCTACTGGCGTTGCTATGTGTTAACATGTAGCTGCGCGCAACTTCTCACTTGCCTCTGCTTTTCCCAAGGTTCCCAGGAGGCAGACTTTCTGCAGTAAATAAATTAGAATTTTTAGAGCACTGTACACAGTGCCAAAATGCGTTTGTCTCTTAATCCTCACACTGACGCAGGTGTTATTCTCCCTTGGAGATGATGAAATGATAATTATAATGAAGTGGTCTGGTTTGGCAAATGGAGCATGGGGTTTGGAGACTGAGGAGTTTAATGATTTAGGTTCTGCACGCAGTCGGTTTTGAACCTAGAGTGTGAAGAGGTATTGGAAATCTAAGAGTCGTAAAAAGAATTAAGTTATACTTGTACCAGTTCCCCAGGGTGAATGTGCTGCAAACATGTACTAATAAAAATAAAAATTAAAAAGAAATAAAAACCTTTTGGGAGGGGCTGGGGGTTTAGCTCAGCGGCATAAGCAACTGCCTGGCAAGCACCAGGTCTTGAGTTCGATCCCCTGGTACCAAAAAAACCAAACAAGCAAAAATGTTTTTGGACACCTGTGAAATTGACAAGTGGTGGAATCGTTGGGTAATGATGAAGAGTTGTGTAGGTGCTTGTTTTGGGGATCATTGGGGACTGATAATTTTACCATACATGCCCTAAAATTACAAATGTCTTCTACCCCCTTCTTGTAAATAAGACACTGGGTTGTGATTGTTTTAACTTTAGTCATCAAATTATATTGATTGATTTCTCTTTGGCCTTTTTTTTTGGTGGAATTTAGAAGCAGACAAAGAAATGACTACAATGCAGTAAAAAATTTACGTTTTATCTTGTGAATTTCTGGCTATGAAACAGAAGTGTGTGTAGGACTCAGAATGGAGTCTGTCTGATTAGGAGTTGAGCTGGGCAAAGCTCTACAACTAGATTCTAAAGTATGGCGGTCCAGATTAGCAAGGGCCAGGAGCAGCAGAGAGGCTGTCTCTGGAGAAAGTCCACATCTGTCCTTTTTGCTGGGTTGAACATTTGAATTATATAGGGCAGTGGTGAAGAAGCTTTTGCAAACAGCCGGCTGTGGCATGCATGCTGTACATCTCCTACCCTGCCCCACCCCACTGACCTATGATCTTTCAGGAATTCTCACGTTTAAAGATTCTGGCTTGGCTCTATACTTCTGTGCTCCTCAGGTGATTGTAGTGTGCAGTGGTGAGAACTTGTGGTCCAAAGAATCAGCAAGAGAGGAGGTCAGGGAGAACCCTAAGTTCAGAAAATGTGGGTGACCTCACTGGTGAGTGCCAGATCTGCTTTTTGTTCACCTGGATGAGTAAAGATCTAAATATAAATCAAATTTCTATATTGATAAGTGTCTGAAATAGTTCTACTTAGATGTATCATATAAACCACCAATGGTGTGGTTTTTTTTTTTTTTTTTTGGTACCAGGGATTGAACTCACAATCTTTAACTCACGAGGCAGGTGCTGTGCCCCTGGAGCTATATCCCTGGCCCACCAGTAGAGTTTTGGAAGACATGAATATTTGATAGGAGAAGGTCAGCATTTAAATGACACTGAAACCAGTGTTTTGCCATTCATTTGTATTCAGTTATTCAATTTTAGGGCAGATTTGTGTTTAAGGTTCTAGGTATTTTGAAACTGAGGATTAACTAAATAATGAGCCAAGTAGTTTCTTTTTTTTTTCTTTTTCTTAAAATAATCTTGTTGAAATATTTGGAAATATATGAATGTTTATTTTTTCAGTTATTTATAAATCTTTGAAGTTCAATATTTAACTTTCTATATTAAGTTGAAATGTCTTGTTTATTCAGACAGTTGCAAGTGAGTAATTAAACTGACTTGACAATGTATTGGAAATTCAGAAACCTAGAATTTAGTTTTTGCAAGATCATGAGCTGAGACTCTACTACAGGTTCATTGTAAAGCAGAATATACTTTTGTCATTAGAATTAAAAAACTTCATTATGCTTTTCTTGCTTAAATTACTTTTTAAATATTAAAGGGATAATTATTAATGGTTTTAGTATGAGTTTGTAGGTATTCTCTGCAAAGCTTGAAAGGTAGATTTGGGTCATTTTATGTGGTATACATCAGGTATCAAGCACAGTGCCTGATAAGGAGTAAACATTCAGATTTGTTTACTCCATGTATATTATTTTAAATTCAGTCTACATAAGCCCAAGGAAGTGGTGGGATACAGCTAAAGGAGTTCTTCGAATGGAAATTCATAGCATTAACAGTTAAATTTAAAAAAGATTGCAAGTCAAAGCCCCAACTTTCTACTTGAACTAGAAGAGTAAATTGACTCAAAGTAAGCAGACTAAAGAAAATTATAAAGGTAGCAGAAATCACTGAAGTAGAAAACAGAATAATAATAGAGAAAAATCAATGAAACACGAAGCTAAATTTTGGGGAAAAAATAAGATTAAAAAGCTGGAATGATCAAAGAAAACAAAACAAAAAAAAATGATAAAGAAAGGATACAAATTCCCAGTGTTAGGAATGATATAATATTACTAGCAGTCTCACTGACATTAAAAAGGTAATTGTATACTTTAACATATTTTTGCCTTTAAATTGCACAATTTGAAATGAACAAATTACTTAAAGGATACAACCTAACCAACTTTTCTCAAATAACTGGAAGAGCTTCATATCTATTAAAGTAATTGAATTCATAGTTAAAAACCTTCCATATTGCAAAACCAGTCTCTCAAATGGCTTTGTCAGTGATTTCTATGACACATTTAAGGAATAGTTATTACCAACACTATACAAACTCTGTCAGAAAATAGAAGAGAATGAAACACCTCAATTCATTTCATAAGCTAGTCCCCTTATAGCAAAACTGATGGGGATGTTACAGAAAAGGAAACTAGAGACCAATGTCCTTCATGAAGATAGGGGCAGAAATTCCTAAATTTTAGCAAATAAAATGCAACAGTACAGCAAAGAGTGCATTGTTATCAAATGGGGTCCATGACTGGGACTGCCAGATTGATTAAGTGATGATAGGTGAGTCGGTGTTTATTTTAACATTAACAATAAAAGTGAGGATGTGTATGAGCATGTCAATATATATAGAAATCCAATATACATTTATGGTTAAAAAAACTAAGCAAATTAGTAATTGGAGGGAATTTCTTTAATATGATGGACATTTTATAAAACTACAGTTATTATCTTAGGGGTAAAAGAATGGATACTATTGCTTGATCAAGGCAAGGGTATGTACTCTTCCCCTGCACAGCATAGTTCCTGAACTATGGCAATTTCAAGAACAAATACATACAGGCTATAGAAAAAGAAGTGAAACTGTATTTATTTGTAGACAAAGGATTGCAGAACATTCTAAGGCATCTACAAAAGAGCTACTTGTACCAACATATGAGTTTAGCTGGGTGGTAGGGTACAAGCTCATGTGCAAAAATCAGTTATATTTTTGTATGCTAGCAGGGTACAATTGAAAACTGGAATAAAGAAGCAATTTATAAGAACACCAAAGATATGGAATTCGACAAAGGTGATAAGAGACTTGTAAGACTTTTTCACTGAAAATGACAAAAGCTTGTTGAAGTAAATTAAAGATCTAAGTAAATGAAGAAATATACTCTGTTCACGGATATGAAGATTCAATATTATTAAGGACTCAATTCTTGCTGAGGTACTGAGTAGATTTAATGCAACAATTAAAACCTCAGTAAGATTTATTATGTTTTGACAAACTGATTCTAAAATTTATTAAGAAATTTAGAGAATCTATACTTGTCTAAGGGTAATTTTGAAAAAGAACAAGTGGGAGAATTTACAGTGTTTGAATTCAGAGTTTACTCTAACGTTACCATAACCAATATAACATAGTAGTGGGAAAATAGTAACACAATGTAACACAGTATTGAAGAAAAGGAAATCATGTAGACTAGTGGAATAGAAAAGAAACTAGGAATAGGCATGATCAGTTTATTTTTGACAGAGGTGCTAAGTGGACAACTCAGTGTTGGTCTTTTCACCAAGTGGTGCTTGAACAACTGGATGATCAGAGATATATTGCAGAAATATGTGCCTTGACTCTTGTTGCATACTTGATACAAAAATTAGTTCCAAGTGGCTTGTACACATAGATACAAGAACTTACAAAATTTTTATGTAAAAATATAGAAGAAAATCATAGTGCTCTTGAGTTTAGCAAAAATTAATTAATTAACTAATTAAAGGACACTTAAAGTTCCAGCTATTCAAAAATTGTAAATTCGTCAAAATTAAAAACTATTGCCTTTTAAGGGATGCATAAGAAAATGAAAACATA